CATAAATTTATTTAATTTTATTATTCTGTGTATTTTTATCGATGTAAAATTTCCCTGGGAACACGATGGTGCAATTATTTTTTTGCTACTTGCCGTAGTTTACGAGATATTTGCGAAAAACCTTATTTTTTACGGTTTTTTGACCTTTTGACCCCTTTCCTGACCACCTAGGTCAAAAATTTTTGCGGATTCGGATTCCTGAGGGTCAAAAACATATTTGCGCCCAGGTTTGATCGACAGAGGAAAAAATGGAGGTTCAGCCTTCATTTCAATGGACTATTTATTATCTTACGTGGCTAACGGCGTCCTCATGTCAACTCCTAACCTAGCGTACATCAAACACGCTATTCCGTTCTGTTTATTGGCCGCAAATCCCAAAATGTTGGTCAACCTGAGCAGGGAAGGTGGCAGGAGAGAAATTCCAAGTTGGAACAGCCCAAAGCCAAAGGAAACGGCTGCCATCAGCCTCTCTATGACCTTTCTCTCTATTTGGCGATCCTGTCTTTGGAACAGAGAGGTATAGTTAATTTTCAAAATAAAGCGAAGCACCGGTTTACTTACATATTGCCTTGTGAAGGGAATATGTTCAGTGAAGGAAAACTGTGTAAGGAAAGAGAATTTTGGAATGGATTAAGTTTGGAACTCCAAAGGCTTCCGTTCGTGGAGTAAGAGGTTAGGCCACTGTTGGTAGACGTTGATTTTTTGATAAATGATAGATGACGATTATTTACCGCCTGCTCTTCGAATGTGGAGCCTTTGGAGGGGTTGAGGCAGGTGCCGTTGGGAGTTTTGTGTAGAATAGCGGATTTGGAGTGGGGGATTGTGGAGAAGGGGATGTACCCGTTGGCGGGGGGTGACTCGGGGATGTCCCATGCCGCGGCGATTTCACTCAGGCTTTGCGTTAGAGATGACGAAGAGGCCTCAGTAATATTCGATGGATCTAAAACACATTGGACTATATTTTCAATACCTCGATAAATAATAGTAGCTCAGTATACAGGATGATTCATTAACAATGGGAAAATCGGAAGCTGAAGATACTACACGTGAAATGGCGCAAACATGCCTTATCCGAAAGTTGATAGTTTCGGAAATACAGGGTGTTGAAAGTTAAAATTTTAAATTATTTTTTTGCGATTATTATGAAAATTAGTAGGTTAGGAACTTGAAAAGTTGTGAAACTATATTTTTTTGCGCGACGAATAAGATGCGTGTTGTAATTTCAGCATAGCTCGTAGAGGGCGTCACTTACGACCAATTTTACCTAAAATTTAGTTAATAACTTTTTACCCTGTATGTCTAACATGAAACTTGATTCAAAACCTGAAAGAGCAATTATTTTTCCATTAATTTGTGTATTCTTATTTCATTTCGGTATCTCGATCCGTTTTCGAGAAAAATCGATTTAACGAACACTACGTTTTAATAATACGAGAAATTAAAAGCGAAACAAACCAAGTGTTTCTTCGTTTTATTACAACATTTAACAATAAAACAAATGAAATTCGTAATATGATTTAAAGTCAGTGTTCGAAGAATCCACCGTAGACATTTACACACTTTAGACAACGTTTTCTGAGAGATCTTCGAGTTTGAAACAACATATTGGGATTGCGTTTGACTTCGTTGGCAGCGATTTGTATTCTTTGCCACAACTCTTCACACAAACCAATAGATTCTTCCAAATAGAAAAATGAAGAGGATTGAAGTCCGGACTTCTGGGTGGCCAAGTAAAAATGCTTCCACGGCTTGAAGAAGTTCCACTTTATTTAAGAAGAGACATGTGGTTCATGCACGACGGAGCTCCACCGCATTTTTCTTGGCCAGTGCGTGCATATTTAGATGCAGTTTTTCCAAATCGCTGGATTGGCCATGTAAGCATTTTTGCTTGGCCATCCAGAAGTCCGGACTTCAATCCTCTTGATTTTTCTATTTGGTCTCGAATGAAAGATATAGTTTACAAAGAATCTATTGGCTCGTGTGAAGAGTTGTGGCAAAGAATACAAATCGCTGCCAACGAAGTCAGACGCAATCCCAATATGTTGTTTCAAACTCGAAGATCTCTCAGAAAACGTGTAAAGTGTATCAGTGTCAACGGTGGATTCTTCGAACAATTACTTTAAATCATAATTACGTATTTTATTTGTTTTATTGTTAATTGTTGTAATAACACGAAGAAACACTTGGTTTGTTTCGCTTTTAATTTCTCATATTATCAAAACATAGTGTAAGTTAAATCGATTTTTCTTTAAAACGGATCGAGATACCGAAATGAAACAAGAGTACATAATTAATAGAAAAATGATTGTTCTTTCAGGTTTTGAATCAAGTTTGATGTTAAATATACAGGGTAAAAAGTTATTAACTAAATTTTCGGTAAAATTGGTCGTAAGTGGCGCTCTCTATGAGCAATGCTGAAACTACAACACGCATCTTATTCGTCGCCTAGAAAAATATAGTTTCACAAATTTTCAAGTTCCTAACCTACCTATTTTCAGAATAATCGCAAATAAACGATTTAAAATTTTAACATTCAACACCCTGTATTTCCGAAACTATTAACTTTCGGATAAGGTATGTTTGCGCCAATGGTCACCATTTTACGTGTAGTATCTTCAGCTTTCGACTTTCCCATTGTTAATGAATCACCCTGTATGACGGTTTTTAGGTCCGAATTCGTGACACGTGCACCGATTTACGTGAAATTTTAACAGTAAGTTGAAAATAGCTCAAGAAACAAAAGTTACATAGTGTCGATGTGTGCTTTCACCCTGGGGGTGAATGCCACCCCTTCTCTGTGGTGACAATGAAGGCACCCATTTTAATCGCAAAAATCAATAGAGGGATGAATTCTAAGCAGAGTGCTCTATAACGTTTTTACCAAAAATTTATATTTTCCGAGTTATTAGCGATTGAAAATGTTAATTTTTCATCTAAAAAGTAAATATTTTTCAACCATTTTTGATAAATAACTCGAAAACCTTGCTTTTTTTCGAAAAATAAAGTAAAAATAAAGCTTTTGAAATAACGAATCGATTTATTTTTTGTTGATTACCTTAGATGTAATAATAACCGAGTTATCACTCTCTAAAGGCGATTGTTTATTTTTCGGAAAGTAAAATCGAACCTTTTACCGTAAAATAATGGCGAAAGAACTAATTTTTCAAAGAAAATGAATAGAACCTTTTTTTAAAATAAAATGGACATCTCATTTTTTCGGAGAAATAAACTCAATGGCTGAACCATAAAAATAGAAACTAAGCGTAATCTATGCACATTTGACTTTATTTAGGTACTAATAATAGGCTCTGCAAGTTTGACCGCTTTAGAATGCCTAAATTTAAAAAAAGTTTGAAATAATGAGATTTTTTTTTTAATTTTTAAAAAAATTTCCTTATTTTCGAAATAACTCAAATACCAAACAAAATACGTGAAAAATGCAGGAGTTCAAAATTAAAAGTCATTTTTTTATAATATTTTTGCTCTCTTTCAATTTTTCTGTGGAGCAAAAATTAACTGAGATATTACGTTTTTTAGTTTGCATTTGCGTGTAAAAAAGAAGGTGGTCCTTCTTTGAACCCTTAAATCCTAAAAATCTCGAAAACGAAGATTTCAAGACCCTTCAACTATAAAGGTTGATTTGTAGCTCTTGCAATTCCCTGCAAATTGCTTTTTGGAGCGATGAAAAATATTAAAAATTAAAAAAGTTATCGTGAAAAAACGAAGTTTATTATTAAGTGAAAATTGTCGGATCTTGTAAATGGCTTAATTTCCGATAGTTTCCGATTTAGAGACCTGTTAAATCAATAATATTAAATGGTACCCGAATTTTATTCATAAAGAAAGTCTTTAGTCATATGGTTCAGCAAAAGGAGATTCTGTTGATTAAAACATTTTTTCATCGTGCACCAATAAAGTAAATAAACTAAACTAAACTTGTGTATTTTGAATACTTTTTAGTATATATTTTTTTTCAATTTTGGTATAAAACCTTTTACAAAAACAAAATAAAAAATATTAAACAGGAAATAAATTCCCCATAATATCCACCTACATATGACTAATCACTAAACACATAATTTAACAGACTCAGACGTAGAACCCATATCATGCTTAATATGAAACGTATGGTGTCATTACGTATCTCTGTTTTTCCCATAAAAAATTTGATAACGCCTACTAGACATATTAAGAGGCAGTCATTCACCTACCCTTTTAACCTCTCTCAAATGTACTTTGATATTATATTACTATACATGAATGTTTTGGTTTTTTGAAATATTTGACTTATCATCACAGTGTCCTCAACAGGAATTTAAGAATAAAATTCTTTTATCGTAGTGATTATTCTCGTAAAACAGTTATTTTTTTCAGTGTTATCTCCGTTATATATAAAATTTTAAATTTTTACAATAAATTAACGTGCTTCCACTTAATTGTATTGTATTTCAATCAATCATAGAGATAACGACGTGAATCAAGAAACAAATTCTTCAGAGAAGATGAGTCTACAGTTTAATTTGCTCATAGTTTCTTTGATTTACCAGACAGGGCGAAATTTCAATTATGCTGGATGACTTTTTGGATGTACAGAGGACTCTTACAAATACAATTTTGTAAAAAAAAATCAAAAAGGGTAGATCGAAAATGATTTAAATATACACTTCTGCACGGCACTGGAAACTGCTCCACTGTAAAACCAGACCTTGCACAAGGCGACCGGCACGGTGGCAAATTGTAATAATAAATTAACGGACAAAAACTTGAAAGAATTTCCCAAGGAAAGAAATAAATAGATTTTTAGCAACCCCTATTTTATATCCGCAAATTCAACTGCTTTTATCGCTATTAATTAATAAAATTCATTTTTGTGGTTTTAATTAATAAAATAATTTGACATATCTGATATTACAACAATTATTCAAAATTTCACCATAACAAAAATGTTGTCTTGCTTCACCATTAATTAAAAGGATATCCATCAACTTCGAGTTGCACGTAAGCCATTTTTGACACTAACTACTAAAGAACTATTGTAAACGCTATCGCAACGACGTGAATACTAATTGTAAAATCGGATTTCAGAATTTGGAGTCGCTGGGGCCACGTGGCTCTCCATGCGCATTGCGTTATTCGCACAATTCGAATGACTCTACTAGAGATTACAGTTGTCCAGCCATGTACTGGTAGCAAATACTACAACTTCAATTTTTTTTTCTCGAAAATTGTAAGGATTTTACAATTTTTTTTTTACGATATTAAAACTCAATTTTTCATTGTGTATCTAGTCCCAAATTTGTTTGGATAAGTTGTGAATCACCCTGTACATTTCCCGTGAAAATAATACTACTATTTCTTATTTTTTTCCTAATGTTCCTCCTAACAGAGATATCGGGCTTCAAAGGGGTACCTAAAGATTTACGGTTTAGGTTTTAACTTAAACACCACCTTGTTTATTTTGACGAAATTTTGTAGTAGTACATTACAGATAAATGTCCATGATTTGGTGTCCAGAAATGGACTGGCCCCAACACATATTTTCAAAATGTTGACAGGATGTCATACTATCGAACCGAAAAGATTATTTTTTAAATATCCTTTAAAAAAGGGGCTCCTTGTATATATTTCGATAAAATGAACGGTGTTCCATATAAATTAGTAGAAGTGCAGCAACAAATTGAATTTAATTTTTTGCACATTTCATGAATGTAATTAAAAAAATATCAAAAGCATTTAATTAGCGACAGGCAGAGCGGGGCGGACCTCTTTTTTATGTGGAATCATCCAAACCTATTTATTCAACAACTGTAAATTCTAGAAAACTACAACAACAATCTTTAAGCCCAGCCCTTTCAAAAATTTTTGGAATTGACAAAATTAAATTACATTAAATAATACATGAACTAATTTGTAAAAAAATAAAAACCTTTCATTTTTTAAAATATAAAGATCATATTTTTTAAACAAAAAAATTATAGCGAGAGGTAATGTTTTTTTACCTCTATATGCTCCCGATAGTTAAGCAGATACTTATTGAACACCCTGTATTTTCATGCTAAATGTATATTTAAAAAATTAAGACAAAAGACATACGGAACGTATTAAGCTGGTTTTTCTAAAAATATTTTAATTTCTATACACTATGTAGTAAATTATATCGTGTATAAAACAAAATTATCTAGAATTTTGTGATTGTAGATAATTTTGTCCAACATATAACAGGATCTTTTTCATGTAAGTAGCAGTGTGGTAAGTCGCATTACCTCACAAATATTTATCGTAGAGGCGTTCTAAATACGCAACTGCTGATAACATTAACGTCCTTAGCTGAGATACGCTATAATTTTTTGCAAATTTAATGATTTGGTGGTTTGAATAACATAATAAATTATGCCTTATCTCGACGAGAGCAATAAAAAATGGACAATTCTTCTCATTAGTTTAAAAATGATATAATTATATAATTCGCATCAACTGTAGATATTTATTTTATAAAAAAATATATAGCGATGTCCTTCTAATATTCTTTGTTGGTTTAATTTTTTTGGTCTTCTGTCATATTCTAACAATATGATATTTATTCATAGACCGGTAAACGCGCAAATATATTTCTATCACGCGCGCTCGCTATGGGACCTATAGTGTAGTGGTTTAGGTGCACGGAAAGTGCCAGATAGTAGAAGAGCGTGATGTTATTTTCATAGCGCAACGCTCCAGTCTGCTATTTAATTCGATTTTTTTACATAAGCAGCAGGTATGACATTAGTTTGACATTAAATCCTGTATTGACGTCAATAAATGTTACTTGTATTGCTTTATGAAATTTTATATTCTAAATACAAGATATATACTATAAAAAACTTAACTTTAAAATAGTTACGCCATAAAATGTCAAACTAATAACATTCCCAATGAAATTCGAGTACAAAGCTTCTTGAAAAATATATACCTAGCTAAAATTATACTCTTATTATTTTTGATGCCCTGAATCTCAAAATCAAAAGACAATACCTAAGTGCATGATCTTATTTTTTATGTTTTATCACCCTCTAAATGTTTTCCACTTATTTCCACAACACCCTGTTTATAATGTCATAAGTTAAAAACGTATAACCATGGAAATAAACCAATTCACTAAATTAAATAATAAAATTTTCAACACACGTTATCAACTCAGATTAAATATCAAACAAATATCACACCAGCTAGATGTAACAAAATTATCGCTTAAAATAACAGATTTCATTAAAGGCGGCACGGGTGTTATAGGATAACAATGCCTTCGGTCAATGTACATCCTTCGAGCCAGAGGCCCAAACATTTTAGATATTTTATTCACTATTATAACAACAGTAGTCGTGTAATGCGTCTCAGAATAGGATGATTATTGAAAAATAACAGACTACCTGGACTTTACTTTTTAAAAAAATCATGCTTGTCGTAAACTTATAATTTCAATCTTTCTTTTGATATAACTCATTTGATGTTATACTATTTTATCACCATATCCTTCGTCATTTGTTACTTAAGTAATGATATTAATATCATTGTAGACAAAAACTTCAATTGCTAGCAGCCTGCCATAGATTCTTTCAGTAATATATTTTCAGCATCAGCATAAATTCCTTTGTAACGCATTAGTAAAATAGTATTGTGGCATTTGAGCTCATGAAACAAATTGGTATCTTGAATCTGCGATTGTAACTGCATTTTGAGTTTCAATTAAATATTTTAAAGTTTCTCACATTCTACATATTGTACACAAATTCGAAATCTTTGACTACCATTGTAATCCACAAAGACCATTTATAGGACATGGAAGTTACATAAAGATCATTTTAATTTAATAATTTAAGTGTTTTTATATGAGGATATATCAATTACAATCAATGTTATACAAAACTAATGCAAACAATTAAAGGGTCAGAAGAGTTTCCGAAATTTTTCCGTGATTTTTGACAGACTGTATTTAGGTGAAAAATGGTCGTATTGGAAATTAAAAAAAACATTTTGAAGCTCTAAGATTCTAGTTTTTAGATTTTTCGGTCGAAATTTTTTAGTTACGGTTATCATCGATCAAGTTTACGGACTGGGAAAATTTTTTTTCAGCTAAACCATTGCATGGACCAGATAGCTTGTCTATTCAGCTTCAATTTCCTTTTTTTTTAATTTTAATACGACAATTTTTCCTCGAAATATCGGACTTTTAATGGAAAAGGATTCTTTTGTCTTCAATCATCGATATCGTGCCGACAAATATGGTCGTACAGTACAGTATTTTTCCAACTCCGTGAAAAAAAAATGTGCAAAATTGTTTGTCGAGCTATTTCTTAGAATTGCATGATAACCGTAGCTACTAAAAAATTTCGACCGAAAGATCTGAAAACTACAATGTTAGAGCTTCAAAACGCTTATTTTAAATTCCCGATACGACCATTTTTCACCTAAATACAGTCTGTCAAAAATTATGGAAAATTTTCGGAAAATCTTGACCCTTTATTTTTTTTTGCATTAGTTTATACTGCAATGTAGAATTTCTTTGCATGTAAACCATTTCCCTCATATTACCTGGTAGATGAAGCTCTCCAATATGCTCCGTATACAACGCCAGAATTTCCTTATAAACCTTCTGATACACCTTCCAGGCTTTCCTCAGTACCCATCCCGCCTTGAAATATCCTGAAAAGTCCTGCTGCAGAAACGTCAGTATTCCTATGCATACTTGGGAGTCCGCTAGGATGATCTGGGTTTCCAATTGCTCGGCAAGCGGCTTGGGAGGTTCACTTCTACCAAAAACTCTTGGTATCATCTGCCTGAGCCAACCTGTCTCTGCCACGCATCTCTTCTCCACGTCCTTTAGGGTTGAAATGGCTAGATTAAGTTTGTCTTCTTCGAAGCTCATCAACGCATCCTAAAAGAAAACAAATTATTTATGTTGACGTGTATTGGAAATAAGAGACGATCTGGTTTAACAATTTTTGGGCAGGTTGCCACGTCATCGGTTTAGCCTTGTTGACGTTTTAACGATTTCCATCAATTCCGAGTTGCTATACACGTAAGCCATTTTTGACACTTGAAAAACTAATGTAAACACTATTCGGAATCACCTGAGGTCACGTGGATCACCCATTATAAGAGAATGAACTTAAGTTTGCTACAATATAAAATTAACATGTAATCCTGACATCAATGAAACTAATAAATATCCTTTTTGAGGTCGTGATTCCAAAAAGAAGGACGTAGATCCGCTGAATCTGGTCAATTTAGCGAAAATCTTTTTATTTACTTTAGTAGTGTGAGTGTACTACTCGTAAGTAAATTTCTCCCTGCAGCAAATTTTATCATACGATGTCGATATTTCACTCTTCACGCTATTCCCAGAAGATTCAAGGATATCGAACCGCATAAAATGCGGACCTACTGTCCATGTTTTGGCGAAGTGCCAAATTATTATTTATCTCTGACCTTTCATGAGTCAGCTAGTATTTATAGTGTAGGTTTATCGTCATATAGTCCAAATGAAAACAGGAAGAATTAATTTTTTCAAACGCAGAAGTCTTCAATTAGTTCTTGTAGGTATTTTTTGTGTTCGTTATACAGATCCTTGATGATAAAGATAATCTTTTTTTTATAATTAATAGGTATACTTCGCTTCCATTTATCTATGAGTTGTAGAAAGAAATAATTACTGATACTATTTTTAATTATTCAACAGATTTTGACACTGAAAGCAATTCAAACTCAATGCTTTTGGTATTAATATCTAGTGTTTTTTTTGTACAATATACGATATGTATGTATGAAAAAATAATTTTAGTGATTTATTTTCAATATACTCTAAAACGCTCGTTCAAATACTGTAGTTAATTTTCTTATTAACATTACCCTCAATGATGTTTCATTGTATAACACACGAATTACTACATAAAAATTTATTTCAATGTCTAAGTTACATTAACTAAAAACATATCACTGATCACTTTTTCTTGGGATCTGGAGTACTTTTTGGCGGAAGTATCTTGGAAATACCCAAAAGTTGATCTGCCTTTTTAGCTGGCTTGCTTGGAGGTACTTGACTTTTTGCCGCTATGGACTGGGATTTGAGACGACCTGCCTTCTGATTGTACTCCGTGTATTGCTTGATAATCTCTTTCTTCCCTTCGCCAGCTAATTTTATGGCCGTGTTTGCTGTTACTACAAATACCATTTTGGTAAACTCGAACGCAGCAATTGCGTAATTTACAATTTTATCTTTTGACATATCTCATTTGACATACGGCAAATTTTTATTTTCAAGGATAACAGTCGGACATACCATGCAGTGAACAAGGAAAATCACTTATTAATACACTACAACGGTCACTGCGATGTAGGAAGTGATCGGCTAACTGGGTAGCAATCCCAGAAAATATTTTTTGATGAACTGACAGATGAAGTGTTCTATAGCTTCTCAAAATTATCGTTTACAAAAAGGAAATTTCAGAAAAAAATTGACCGTAACCATTACCACATACCTATTAAACAAGGCCTCAAATCTGATGCTCTTTTGTTTTGTGGCGTCACTACTTGTGGTATTAAGTCTCTAATTTTAACAAATAGATGTACGCATTGTGGTTAGTTTAATTTAATTATTATTTACATATAACTGCTGTGTATATAATACGTGTTAATTCTAAAACCTTACACAATTTCCGTGGATTAAATCAGTTGTTAGAGGTTAGGCGGAAGTTTTTTTGGATGTGGGTTAAGGAGCAGTATTTATTGCATTTCTTGTGTCAAGAAAACAGTAATCGGTAAACTCCCCGCGATAGTTTTGTTCCGTTAAAAATTTTTATTTACATTTCGCTAAAGAACATATTATTCGTAATATTACACAGAAAGATTCTAGTACAGGTAATTTAATTTTAAAATTAAATCCTCCTTATGCATTATGATAAATTCACGAAATTTATTAGTTTTTAAATCTTTCGAAAACGAAGCATTTCCCGACACATTTTAATAGAAACTAGATAGAATAGATTAGCGAAATTATTCATAATTAAAGTTTAGCGCAATATATTATTAACACCCTGTACAGTCAACAACTTTTATTATTGATAAAATCCTCTTTTCAAAATTTGAGTGAATAAAACTGCAGTTATCTTAAAAGTTACACAAAAAAAATACATATTTAGAACAGGCTAAATTTATAAAGCTTCATATCCTGATTCACAATTGTTAAACAAAGTCTACCACATCTTAATTAAAAAATAATTAAAAAGTACAGCAGATAAAATTGCTCATAATATTTGTATCCACTTACCATAAACATTGCGAAGGAATATCCCGCAAACATAACTAAACTGTCCGGATACTGCAAAAATAGATTTTTCGCATCTGTGCTATTATTATTTATAATTAGATTAATCCCTTGTTTAGCTAAAATCCATTCAGGCACTTTATTTTTGTTGTCAGTTTCCGATGGGCCGCTATTTTCAGGTACGTTATCATTACAACTTGCCATTTCAAAAAATATGATTTTTTAAATTACATCTTTGTCATATGTTCACTAATGTGCGATTTCAAATTGAATAGTTTTCTTGATAGTACCATCTTTTGCACTTTGTTTACGGACTTTTTTTAGATTGTAACTAATAGTTGAGGGCCGAGCTCACTAAGGATGGTGTGGTTTCACTGGAATTTGCTTGTGTTTTAAAAAGGGACTGTGTTTGACAGGGTTGTCAAATATTTGCCGCGGTTGCGTTATGTAGCGTATTGATTTGCACCTTCTCAGTAGGGGATGCATATACGTGGGTTGTTCTAAAAATACCCCTCGAAAATTTGTTTTACTGAGAACGTAATGACGATAAATGAATTTCAGGGTACAGTTGGGTGACGCATTGTTTAATAAAAATAATTAATTACATTGATTTCCAACAGGTTTTCATCCAGTTACAGTAAAATTTATAATTGAAGGTGGAAAAACACAATAAAAAACTTGGATTACAAAGAAAAAATACAAAAATATCTAAAGTTACGCATTATATTAAATTAGTGTCAAATGTACCACTCCCTTAAGGTTATTAAATCTTTGATCTCCGAACAGCGTTTAAGTTTGTTTTTGTTAATACTGTAGTAAAACTTTATTGAATTAAGCATTTTAGAAAGTCTGAGCTTTGCATTTGCATATATACTGGGTGCCACCTAGCAAATATTACATACCTCAAGAGTATAATCTAGAACCCAAATGGTGTCGACTTAACCAAACTTGTTTTAACAAAAAAATTACGCAAAAAAGTTAAAGGGTGTTAGTTTATTTTTTTATTTCTTATTTTCTCTTTAACTCAGAACCCATAGTTAACCGAACTGAGCAAAATTTGCTGCTGCTTAGTTTCTCTTCATGAAGTATGCAGTGATTATGTTCCTATTAGGTTAAATCACTCAGGGCGTTCATTTTACTACAACCCATTGTGAATATTCTTCTATAACTTTTTTGTACGTTTAAATTTTTACACGCAATTATCAGAAATAGGTAGAGAACCGACCCCCAATTGTTGCCTGTTTGATTATAAGTTCAATGAATGTTGTGAAGCTATCACAAAACCCAATTGTTGCGAAATGCAATATTTATGACGTAGAATTTTGTAACTCATTTCCAATGGCTATATTGGCCTGAAATAACAAAAAAAAACAAAATACATATGTGAAAATATATTGATTAATCGATTTTAAAGGAATTTGTTATTGTAGTGTTATTTTTGGTTCTTTACTCAGCTGTTTGCAAAACATCTTAATCAGGAATGTAGATATTTTCATACTTATGGTAAGTATTACAACAGATACTTAGATGATGTACCAATGATTTAGTTTTTAAAAAAATACTGTTTCTTTATATTTAGAGAAAGAGTGTGTGAGGTCTTGACCTTTTTTCTATGACCTGTATTTTATGCGATGACCTTATACCTCCTGCAAAGAAAAATAATATTAGCTCATACTCGTAAATTTGATAAAAAGTTGATGCAGTATTACGTGTATTTGGAATAATAGATTTAAACTAAAAATTTAGTAATACATGTTATTTGTTTTAGTATACTAAATGCCACAAATCTAAAAAAAATATAATTTTTTAACATGGACGTAAGACAGGTATGTATACACACTATTTTATAGTTTACCCAAAAAATCATAAAAAATTTCTATTTTAAAAATATTAGAAAATGATATTAAGCATTGCCTGAATGATGATTGCCTATGAGTTTTTAACGATTTTACGACAAATGTCTTACTGTTTCTTGATATTTTTACACGTGTGCATTTTTTTAAATTGCTGTTTTGTTATAACATAAAATAGTGGGTATGTATTTAATTGAGATTTATTACCATTTTTCGTCTTAAATTTGGAAACAATTTAGGCAATAAATAACAGATTTTGAACAATAATTTGTGAGGGTCGAATTGTCTGTTTTTTTTTTTTAATTTTTCATAGATACAAAATTTATTGGGTAAAAAGTTTCAAAAGTTGAAAGTACCCAAAATCTAAGTAGAACCATACCGAATTATATGACTGTCTCCAAATTTTATTCTGGAACAAACCGTTTTAAATTTCTTCAAGAATTAATTCATGAAGTCGTTTCATAAAGAAGCTGTGTAATAGATATTTACATTGAGCATTAATTTATTCATGAATAAATTCACGAAGTTTATCGTGAATTAATTCATCAATTTACTTATAAACAGTTTGTTTTGACATAGTTTTAAACGTCGCGAATTTGAATTTTTTTTAAACAAAAACAGCTATTATAACCAACTTTGCAAGCAAGTCAGTAAATAAAGACAAATTGAAAATGAATACCTACATTTTCTTGAATAAGTTGAGATTAGTTATTTTTTTTAATTAGAAAAAATTGTAATCGTAATTTCCAGTTCACGTATCACTCTTTATAAAAAAAGTGCGATAGAAATATGTAAACCATAGATTTGACAGCTAAAAAAATATTAGGTTGGAAATTTTTAATAAATTATTTTATTTAATTAAACTTTAATATGGAAATTAATAGGTACACTACTTTATTGTTTTAAAAAACTATTGTAATAAATTAGTATAAATATTTGTTGACAAAAGAATTTAAAAATATAAAATTTTATGTTAAAAGTAATACATTTCCATATTTTAAAAAAGATTTTATTAATAAAGTGGTCGATAAATTTTCAAAAAATCCGAGAAGATTATGTTTTTTATTTTTGTTGAATTTATATATTTTTTTGATATTCATTTCTATTGTTTTTCTTGTATTAACAACACATTGTTGACAGTTTTGTATAGGTATTAGGTATTACCCGTAGACCTAGTAAACTAAGGTCTATGGTATTACCATAGATCTAATATAGTACACTATGGATTGAATGTAGAGAGAGAGGGCAGGGGACAACATGTAAAGTGGGATGAAACTTCTAGGGTCACGTGACTTAGGGCATGGAACAGCTAAAATGCGCAAAATGTGAGCTTTGACTCCATCCATATACTACTAAATCTATGGGTATTACGGATAACAATTAATTTAAGGGCATTAAATTTATTATTAATTTCTTTGTGTAAAATTGCTGTTAGTAGGTAAATCAGTTGCGAAGAAACCAATTTTTAACCCCGGTTTATCCGTAGAATAAAAGAAACTACATTTTTTTGGGACCTATACTTACTTGGGGCCAACATATTTCAAATCTGCCCTATGCATCGTCAGAGAATAAAGCGCCACTAACGCCCTAAATAAATAAATATTCGAAGGCCGAGTACTTACTTCTCCATTCCATTTACAGTCTTATCAGTTTATTTGTGTACACTTTAGCCTTTCCCGTGATAGTGATAAGAAGACCCCCTGCAGACATCAATAATTGACTTTTGACACGACCTTATCTTCTCAAAAACAAAGTCGGTATGAGGCAAGATGGATTTTTTTAATGTTGTTTCCACTAGACCCGTTATTGTCTTTTGTAGCACAAATATGTAAGGGTCAATCGATTGCTAATGTTTCATATTAAAAAAACGTGGTCTTGAGCAATGCTCAAAGGTTTGTTCATCGATCTTGTAGCTAACGCAAAACATTTAAATTGCCATGTGCTGAATGGAAATAAAATGAAAGTAGGTGCATAGAAAACCTATCGCATTATCAAATTTTAAAATTAACAATAATCTTAGTTTTTCATATAGGTACAGCTTTTTTTAACACCTGCTGCTAGATAAGATAATTTTCTTGATTTCGAAATAACGGAGACAGTAGGTATAAAAGATACTTTTTAACTTTACAATTTTATTTATTCTTTACCTTTTTCTAGTGCTTTGAGTGAATAGTGGAATTTATATCCCGTACAAACGAATGCATTTGACAATTTTAACTAACGAGAACTGTCAGGTAGATATAACCATTAACCTTGACATTAGTTGACTTTTCATTTGCCGTAATCAAAATAAATTATGTACACTTCCTTATCGTTATGCAAATCAATTAAAAAACAATTATATGAAAATAATATGTAGAAAATTATATGCCGCGCCGATTTTCCATGTATAATACTGTTAAAGTGATTGTATATAAGATATCTAATGCAAATAGAAATTATCGAAGAGGTTAAACATGGTCTGATAGCCCCTCAAGGGGGTCAAGCAAATCATAAGACTAACAGAAAAGCTATTTTGGAAGATGTAAGTAAATTGGGAAGCGTTTAGATAAACAAATTTAGGTCAACGGTCAATACAGAGAGAGCAAAATATGAAGTCGAACGCCTAGTCAGTGTGCACAATTTATCGCCTTTTATCTCTTAGATTGGAACAGTCTGGAGGGCGTAATTAGTTTGCTAAGGTCATTTTTAATTAAGTATTTGGTTTTTGGATACTAGCCATGACCTGGGGATCAGTAATGCTGTAGGACACTTGCAAATTTTTCAACAATCAATTCCATGAGTTACTTTTGTTAATATATTTTTTAATATTTAAGGATTTTAATATAAAGGATAAATATTGCTCACACATATTTTCAATCAATGTTTTTGCAGCCCTTATATGGATAACCATGTTTACCTTTTAAATTCACGTTTATCAAATGCAATTACATTAAATTTTGCAATTTGATAACGATATATTACTCATTGTTCATGAAAATTTGTCAGTTTATACTTTTATTTATAGAAAATAAAATGAACATATATCTACAAATGAAATATATTGATTTTTTATGTGTAATCAAACACTTAAAAAAACATTTTCAATTTGCATCGGTATAAAAACAACTTTACAACTAATATGTGTAAAAGTAAAGAAAATAGTAATAAAGAGGTATGTAAAACTTGAATTTTTTTGGCATTGTAAAATACTGGTCATACTTATAGAAAATTGTGAGATCAATTATTATTCCCCATGATAAGAAACCCTTAGGAATGCTTTTCTCTTGTATTTATTTTAACCACTCTATATAAATGTTGAAGATTGTGCTTGTGTTAGCCAGCTAATATTTAATAAATATTATCAACACTGGGGGTCTAAAATAATAATATGGATAAAGTTAAAATGTTATCACAGCTGACCTTCCTCCAGTGTATATAAAAGCACATTGCTAATTGGAGCCGTTTATAGAACTCCACGTCCGAAGTGTGCTGTGGCACTTGCTGCTGCTATCGATTACAAATTTCTAGAGAATTCAGTTTGCAAAGTGTCTCAAAACTACAGTCCCAGTTTTTGTTTTTCCTTTTTAATTTTTTTCTTTGTGTTAGTGTTTATTAATTTTATATAAATGCAGTACTTAAGAGCTCAAAATATGACCGTGGTTAAGAAATTCCGTGTGAACCCCATCTACTATTCCGACTACTCTGATACCTTCTAGAGTTCCATTGTATTTAGTACCTATTTGTACTAAAATACAATCCGCCGAATATTTTCGTGAAATATAATTTAGGAGAGAAAAATAATTTCAAGACTTACCTATTGGAGACTGAGCTATTTTTTGTACTTAAATATGGATATCGTTACAAGTGTAAGTTTCAAAAACCATATTTTTGCAGATCCTAAATAATTTGACAAACCAACTAACAATTTTATTCTTTTCAGTATCCTGTACTCAAAGCCTTTTTAGCTGGGTCCTTCTCTGGGACTTTTTCCACCGTCCTGTTCCAGCCCTTGGACTTAGTAAAGACACGGTTACAAAATCCCACAACTACCGTTATCAAGTAAGCAAAGCTGTTAATTTTTTTTTGTTTACGTTTGTATGACGAATATTTTTTAACTTTATAGCTAAAAATCTTAATAAACTATTTATTTTTCAGTGGTCGTCATGGCGCGCTTAGCATGGTGGCTATTTTCACAAATATTCTACAACAAGAGCATGTCCGTGGACTATGGCGAGGAATGATGCCAGTAAGTATATTAAAAATATCTTACTTAAAGACGATATATATCATTAGCAAATATCTCAATTATTTCTATCATCACATACTAGTGAATGCGATAAATACGTATTTATTTTGATTCATATTTATTTTGTTGTTACGTGTTTATTTAACCTTAACCTTTAATTACTTTAAAATATGCGCTAATATCGAAATATGTAATAAATCTGAACCTGGAACTTTTTTATCTTTATTAATATCGTTATGATTATTTTGCTTGAACTATTATATCACTATTTCTTGGATCGGAAGACTATTTTAGATAAAAAAAAGTCAATCATATTAATATTCTAAGTGAACATTGATAACAAAATTTATGCGTATAAAGACATTTTCAATTTACTGGAATTGGTCATGCTTCGAAGACATGTAAAATAAGATCGAGAAAAGGCTTATCAGGTTTTTATCATTAATATGTATAAACAGCTTATTAGTACAATAAAAATGTTCTGGTTGTAGCATCCTGACCACTTATCATGGTCCTTGTATTAAAAAAAAGTTAAAGAATTGCACTGACATTTAGATTATGGCATGTGGATCACATAAACAAAGAATTATAAGAAAAATGTTGGATAAATTTGTTGTAGTTTAATATTATGTCTATAGAGACTTATCACTTCAAGGTGATACTGTTTTTCAATTAAAAATATCATTAAACATATTTTATGTTATTTAAAAAGTTGTTTCTTACATTAAACAAACTATAAAAAAAATTGAATTCCCATAATATGCCATTTAAATACTTTTTATGCAGCCACTATTCAAAAATATAAAGTACAGGGTGTCGCACTTCAATATGATACAAGCCTGTAACTTCTTTATTTTTTGGCCGATTTCAAAAATTTTTATTTGGGAATGTAGGGTAAAAAAAACTATCTAACTGTGGTATTGCTGGATTTATTAATGCAATTCACGACTAACTAGGGACGTGTTTAATTGACATCAAAACAGTTGATTGGTATTAGCGATTTTTTTTCCAAAAAAACAGATTACGTATTCTCAGTCAGCATCCCTTAAAACGTCTTACCACCAAGTTTCATCAAATTCAATACATCTTCAGGCGAGCATTCCATGATGTCGTGAAATGCAATACAAGCTTGTAATTTTTATTTTTTGGACGATTTCAAAAATTTTTATTTCGGAATGTAGGGTAAAAAACTCTATTTAGCTGTGATACTGCTGTATTTTACTATTGTAATAATCGGCCAACTAGTGCTCGTCTGAGGATGTATCGAATTTGATGAAACTTGGTGATAAGACATTTTTAGGGATGCTGAATGAGAATACGTAATCTGTTTTTTGAAATAAAAAATCGCTAATACCAATTAGCTGTTTTGAAGTAAAACAAAAACGCGTCCTAGTTGGCAGTGAATTGCATTAATAAAAACAGCAGCATTACAGTTTGTTTTTTTTTATCCTACATTCTAAAAAAATTTTGTTTTAAATCGCTCAAAAAATAAAGAAGCTACAGGCTTGTATCACATTTAAGCGCGACACTCTGTATGGTGGCTAAAATAGTAGTGTTTCTTTGAATGAGTCTGCTTTTGCACAACAAACTCAACAAGCTGGCAAAGTAATAAAAATGGAGATTTTTGGTTGGGGTGTACATTAAATTTTTCCATTCTGATCTTAATAATTTAGCTTCGTGTCAGTTTCTTTGTTTAGTATCATTTTTAGATGTCATGGTTTTACGTCTTCAAAAACTTCGCAGATTCAATTCTGTCCGATTATAGTGGAAATAATTGAGCATAAGAAGTATTTGTGAACGTAACCAGTGACACTTTTTGTCCCGAAATGAGTTGATAAAACTGCAAGCTGCATCGAAATCGACATAAAACATGTTTGATGTATTGTAATAATTTTTTAGAATCACAGCAAGTGTTCAGCAGGTTTTATTTTTCATTGTTAGTTACAAAATTTTAGTTGATTTAATAGACTAAAAATTAAATTTTAATACTAATAACACAGGTCAAGGGACAAGAAGCAGACACACTAATATGCATTCCCAAAGGATTTTGGTGCGCTGAATCCGAATCTGCCGCAGAATTGCTCCATCACATGAGGTTTTTGAGATATCCTAACTTAAAAGTGCAAAAACAGTGTTTTTCGTCATATTTGAGGTTATGTAGTAATGCCATCTATTCTTTTTCAAAAAAAAAAAAAAAAAAATACATATAATTTAAAAGTCCAAGACTCTCTCTTTTGAATGCAGTTGAGTTTGCTCAAATGTCTTTTTTTTCGTTGAGACATCACATGTTGAAATTTCTAAGTTGATCAGTTTCTTAATATGCGAAAATCTACTAAGGATTCCTTAGACGTCAAACAGTTGATTGAAGTTCAGAAACTTCATACTCAGAAACCTTCAGTACATATGAACTCAAACTCACAAACTCCAAATCCACAAACCCTAAACCCACAAACCCCAATCCCACAAAACCCGAACCTACATACTTCAAGCTTACAAACCCCAAGCCCACCAACTCCAAATCCACAAACCGTATGGGTATGAAGTTTCTGAATTGCAATCGACTGCTTGATGTCTAAGGGATCCTAAGTAGATTTTCGCATATTAAGAAACTGAGAAACTTAAAAATTTCAACATGTGATATCTCAACGAAAAAAAAAATATATTTGAACAAACTCAACGGCATTCGAAGGAGGGAGCCTTGTACTTTTAGATTCAATGCATTAGTTTTTTGAAAAAGAATAGATGGCATTACTACATAACCTCAAATATGACGAAAAACAGTGTTTTTTGCACTTTTAGGTTAGGATATCTCAAAAACCTGATGTGATAGAGCTATTCTGCTGCCAGATTCGGATTCAGCGCACCTAAATCCTTCGGAAATATATATTCCAGTTTCTGCTTCCAAAAAAAAGTTAAATTTTGTTGGTCTGTGTAATTTTTGACAAAATTAGAAAAAATATATGTATGTAACACTTTAGTAATATGATTTTGTGCACGTCATATTATATTGTGGGATTTAATTTTACTTGTTACGGAAATATTATGCATGTCTCACGCCATTGTTTTTTTTTTGTCTATTCTGAAGAACATTTTACCTAAAGTATAAACAATGAAGTGAGACTATAAATTTACTTTTTACTTTCATCTTTTCTTGGGGAAAGTGTTCCTGAGGATAACAAAAAAAAATGAGTCACATTTACTATAGAAAATCACACTTTTTCTAATTATTTTAAAATTTATTGTTTATTCCTCACTTCTTTGCATCGTTTTCTGGTTAATAGCATTTTGATGTACGAAATATGCCAATAAGCTATACCTAGTATTTTTTTATTTCAGTCGTTAACCCGCTGCGTACCAGGAGTGGGTCTTTATTTTTGTTCTGTGGACTACATCAAGACTCATAACTTCCCTGACAAGACACCCAGCCCACTAGAATCAGTAGCTATCGGTATGATAGCGCGCTGTATGAGTGGCGCCGCCTTGATACCCATTACTGTTGTTAAGACCAGGTAAATAGATTTCTTCAACAGCAATTTGTATATTTCCATATAAAAAAAAATTTAAATGATATTGTGGATGAATGGCAGTTTTTGTAATTTCTTTTGTTTGATTTTCAGAGTGGAGAGTGGGGTTTATGGATATCAAGGCATCGGTGATGCTTTGAAGGAGATATACCGCACTGAAGGAATTAGGGGAATGACATGCGGTCTAGTACCCACATTATTCAGGGATGCACCTTTCTCCGGCTTGTATCTCATGTTCTACACACAAGCCAAACTGATGATCCCAGAAGGTAGGCATTACACACTCACATAGTCTCTTTAATAATTAACAAAAAATTTGATTAACAAAAGGAGTAACTAATATTAGTTAGTATTTAATAATAAAACAAAGCAACGGGCAACACTGATAAGCGACTACAACCCTTGTATATAATTTATTTATATGAAAAAATATCCTTGTTACAGAAATGTGGAACACCCCGTATGCATCTCCAATTCACTTCACGTGTGGCGTGTCTGCGGGCATACTCGCCTCCGTTGTCACTCAACCGGCCGACGTCCTGAAGACAAAAATGCAACTCTACCCGACTAAATTTAACGGGTTGTGGTCCGTGGTGGTGTACGTCCACGGCAAATATGGAATGCAGGGTTATTTCAAGGGAATGGTGCCCAGAATGCTGAGACGTACGTTGATGGCCGCAATGGCCTGGACCGTATACGAACAGATGTCGACGGCCTTAGGATTAAAGTAGTACAGTATATAATAGTGTATAGGTTAGGTGTGACACCCTAGCTTATAGGTATCTGCTTTATGAAATTGCCTACTAATAGTACTTAGGAGGATGAAGATGAATCGTTGAACGAGGTAACTTGTTTTACAGGAAAATGATGAGATGTCGCTCGTAAATATATATGCCGATGTTACAGTTAACCCACTTGGTTTCTAAAACAATTTTCAAAAATTTATTTATTTTCTATTAATTGCTACAGTTATAAAAAAAAATCGTGTTCAAATTACCATGCTGTCTGTAACTGACGGTTCCTTCTATAAATTTACAAATGTAAGTTGCAGTTGGTAGCCTTGTTTTATTTACTTGAGTTCTTAGCTATTCTTAATGCTGATTGGGCAATTAAGTGACATCTTACGTAAATAAAACAGCTACTGTCAACTGTCAAGTATTCTAACCTAACTTAATTGACATTTGACATTTGTAAATTTTTAATAGTAACTGGAAGTTCGAACCCTTACAATTAAATGTTTGGACGGCACATTATTTAATGTAAATTTGATGCAATTTTTAAAGAAAGTTTTCCAATTCGCTTTAACTATGTAAATAATGATTGTTAAAAAACAACGGTTGAACCAGTGCTAACTAAGGATCTACAAACTTTTGGAGTGAAAATTTCTTTTGCTTCTTCTGGAGTTCCGTTGGCAGTAGTTTTCCTCTTGTTAGCATAAACACAAAGTTGCGATTTAATTTTGAATCCGATTAACTTTTGTCTCTTATCATACTTATCTTGTAAAAACTGTAATCAGAGTGATGTATATGCTGACGACATATGCTAACAACTGTTTCTTAGTTTTACACCGCGGCAATTTCTCTCACAGTAGCCCTTTTTTTGGCACTTTGTGCCCTTTTTGTCTCTTGGAGGATGACCAGAACTCTTTCTGTGAACGCTACATTCTGAGTTTGTTCTGTGTGTTTTAATTATATCTCCCTCCAATTCTACTTGCAATTTTTTATCGATTTCCCTTGCTCATATTGTTGAATTATTATTTCACTCTCTATTTTGGAGGTTGCTAAGCCGCGTCATAGTTTTGCACAATATTGTCGAAGGGTGTACAGACCAGAACAAATTTAATTGTTTGTAAAGTTGTCATGAAACGTTTCTCCCAAGGCACTAATGTAGAATATGTTTATTCTAGGACTGTGTGGCATTATTAACTGTTGTTGCCAAAGTTATTGCCCGTCTAAACGTTTAATTGTTAGGGCTCAAACTAAAAAGGAATTAATCACTGTGCTTTATGTAGATTTCAATTAATGTACTATAAGCATTTTAGGGGTGTAGAAAAAATTTATATTTTTCGGCAGTGACTATTGATTTATTTTTTATCATGTATATATATTCTTTATTTTTAAGGTAAAAAATATTTGCATATTGTACTTTTTAAAATGTATTCTATTCTTATGTACCCAACCCAATACATATTTTTAATTAATAACTAACCTACTATATTGTATAATATACTGTACTACTTTCCTTTGCATGATGTATATTTTGTATATTGTTTAAAATTAGGCTTTAGTATGGGATAAATGTAAAACGATATTCAGTTTTGTATCAGAAACTGCAGTATTGTTTGTATTCAATTTATTTATATTATTTTAAGGTGAAATAAATGACTTTTGTTGATTTTGTGTTTCTTCTTAAGGGGTAACGCTAACCTAGTGATTGGGAATAGGTGATTTTCGGAAAGGACCTCGCACGTTTTTTATGAAAAATGGGTTTCAGCCAATTTTTTTGAAACTTTACAAAATGATAGTTCACAACACGTCGATCAAAAGTCTCAATGGGCACGAAGCTTTAAAACCGCCCCCAACCCCCCAAAGGTCGGGGAAGCACGTAACAAGCTATATTGGTGAATTGCCTAACCGAAATATTTTACTACTGTAGTGGAATCTACAACTACCCACACCATCACTAGGCTCAAGACTTCCCACTTTCGCACCTATCAAAGCCAGCTGTGTAGCTTATTACTTCTTACTAGTTGTGAACCCATTTGATCATGTATTTCAGCCACTTAGACCATCACCTCACACGACTTCTAAACCCCAATAGTTATACCCCCACCCCCAAACCTCGCAATACCACCCCCTACAAAAGCCCGCATGGTATGGTTTTACTGCAGTTTTACGGGTTATGAAACCACTTGATGCTGTATTTTATCTCACAGCGATATAAACCATTGGTACACAAGCCCCTTCGGCCCCTGAATTATACCCCCACCCCAATCCTTCAAACACAACGCCTGCCAAATGACTTTGCACATCTCACGGCTTGTGAAACTATATATTATCGCTCAGTGACCATCATTAACCTTTCATCCCCCAAAGCTTACCTTTTACGACTTTTTATTGCTTACTGGTTGTGAAACCATTTGATTATGTATTTTTTTCCACATTCACTAAAATCATCACTACATATGACCGCCACCCTTCGAACCCACAACGAGTAAACTCCCAGCCCACCAGACTTCACGAACCCGCCCCCTTCTAACGTCTGCTTCATAGCTTTGTACATCTTACGGGTTGTGAAAGCATATTCCATCTCACAGCGACTTAAATTATTACTACACACGACCTTACGACCCCCGCTTCATTTCTGCGCCCCAACCCCTTTCAAGATGGTGTCAGAACAAGAAAACAAACATTTTCTCATTTTCTGATATTATATGAATACTAAAAGAAATTTAAAAAATCTATTGAAATTAAAAAATAATAATTGTTGATTTAGTGAACATTAAAAAAAGTGAATTTAGTGAACATTAAAATAAATTTTGTGAATATTTAAAAAAAAGTATAAAAAACGAAAAAATGTCGCATTACATTGTTAATAACAGTCGAAAAACCCCTACGATGTTCCATCATTTGTGTTATTGTAAAGTCGATTCTTTGAAAACTTTTTTTGAGGTCTGGCCAATTAAAATTAAAGTGGTTTCTCAAAAAATGCATTTAAAGTTTTTGTTGTCATTCAGCATAAGAAATTCGTTATACACTTTCAGTCAGCAATGCCTTTTCCATATAATTGGCCATCTATATTGATATTTTTTTATCCTCCTTTTTTGGCTTTTTCTCACAAGTTACAATAAGCACTTCTGCAGAGTGCTGCGAGTAGTTGTGCTCCACCTAGAAAAAACTCGTGCTCTCAATATTTCCCCCACTTAAACATTTTTCCTTTATTCTTCACATAATAAAGCATTGTTTAATCCACTTATCCAAAAACCGATTTTTCCAAAATTCTAGAGTGGCTTTACCCGTTAACTTCATTTTGCGTCTCAGATGAAATTATCTGAAAATATTGATAAGAAAAAAGAAAATCCTCAATGGAATACAGCTTTAAAATTGTAGATTGTCGAAACTTCATAGTTTTCGTTTTAGTGACTGATTCCTAAATAATTGTGGAAAGTCCACTTTTTATAGTGTACCATTAAAACTGTAAACATACAGGGTAGCCGATTAGGAACCTGCACTCCAAAATTTGTTGGAAACACATGAATCAAATGATTTTTTCCAATGTGCAAACACGGCTTAATGAATTTATATATGTGCTGCCTCTACCACACAAGTCTCCTACCTCTTTGTTAATTTTTGGGATCAGAATATATATATTACAATTATTATACAACACAGTGTAGCCCATTGCGATCCAGAACACTTCTAATTTTTTTTGTGATGCACAATTCCAGTGATTTTTTTTTATATGTAAATGATTCTTCGCTTAAAATTCAATTCACGCAGGGAACTTTCAAAAGTGGTTATTTTTTAATTAAGGAAAAAGATACAAAAACAAAATTTATGTGCACTTTTGTTACTATCCTTAGAAGAATTAATTGCATAACTTTTCTTCTATGACCAATATGGTCATTTAAAAATCTATTTTAGACAGTTTGATGTATTCGAAACTAATTTGGTATGTTCTTAGTTTTTGTAAAAAATAAAACAGATTATAGTATTGTAGCAGTTATGTCCTTAATCGTAATAAATGCTTCAAGAGTTGTGAGTTTGGGACAATTACCTAAAACTGCTTTTTTCACAAAATTTTTGACTATACCCTTAGTGATTTTTAAGGCTAGAACATATTACGAATTGTGCTTAATATGTGGTCTATGGCAAAAGAATATACAAAAGATACTATATTGTCTCTAGATAAGAAGTTCATATTATACATATTCACAGCTTCTTGTTCTCTTGCTAATAATACCCCCATCTTCGTTCTAATTTTAATTCTTTTTTAAGCGTTCTTCAAAATCTGTTGTAGCCTTTAGTACGACTAAATATATAGTTGAAACATCGACAAATTTTAGGAAAACCAAAGTTTTTGTTGATTTCCCTAAATCCACAACTCTCAAAGCAAATATAGTGCACACAGGATTCTCCTTCACGAGATAACTTTTCTTACAATAAAAATAAACAAAAATAAATTGAAAGAAGCCTTCAGAGCCATAAAATTGCATTGATCCACGTATTTGGTTAAAAATTCCTAGAAAATTACAATTTTTGAATATTTTGCATTGGTGTCTACCAAAGTTTTTAAATGTCCCATATAAAAATTGAATTTGGACACGCCAAGTATTACAACAGGGCAAAACATGTTTCATTTAAATATTGTTGTGCTCTTACACGAGGGAAGGTTTGAGCACGAGCCCCATCATGCATAAATAATACTGACCTGTGACACCTAGGGGAACATCTTCAAGATGCAACTTTTCAAATTTGTGAGTGTATATGCCAGCATTCAATCGAGGTGGCAGAAATTGTAGCCAGTTAAGTGGACACCAAGAGTTCCCATTCACACATTCAGAGAAAATTGTTGTGGACAATGAACTTTGTCTAACGCATGTGGATTTTCTTCTGGTCATATGTAATTATGATAATTACCAATCCTCTTGAAAAATTGGCATCGTCTGTACACAAGGTTTTTGCCAAACACTCGGGGTTTTGACCAATCTTTTCCAGGATCCTAATGAATTTAGCAGAATTTTGTTATGAAACATCCAAAGTAATCGCAGTGCTGTGATAAAGTACCATACAATGTAATTACTTATTAATAAAATAACCAATATCGTAACAATATGTATAAATGAAAAATGATGTTTACTTTATTTTAAAACTATTAAACTAATTCAAATAAATTCAAAAAAATTTTTTCGAAAACCCTATTTAACTGTTGATTAATAATAAATGTTTCAAAGAAATATCTCGTATCCTTGTTCTAACATTACCTTTTACAAAGATCAACACACACAAATGGACATGAAAGATAAGATCATTTCTAAATTTTATTTTAGGATTACTTTTTAATTGATAACATTTCCAAGGCAATTTTAAAAAATTCAATTAATGATTTCAATATGTCGGATGTTATCATTTTTAATTTTAGATAAATATTATTAACTATTTACTTTATTTCTGAGCAATTCAATACCAGTCGAGGCATGTAGTCCGTAGAGTAGTTGTTTCTCGCAATGTCATTAATTAACAATCTATGTGCAGATATCTTTTTTACATCTAGATTTTTGGTGAATGAAGAACATTATTGTCTGACTTCGTGTGATTCGATTTTTAGAAAGAATTTATTAATTTATTTGAATTAGCATAGTACCTTTAAAATCAAGTAAAAACACTCGGCTAATAATAAAATATATATTTTTAAAACAGAAATAGTTTAACGTCCTTATTAACTATTGCTTTAATTACAAAACAATTTACAAATATATGTACAATTTTTACTTTACAACATTTAATTGAACTATAAATTCGGAATGCTATATAAATTCAAATCCTTCATACTTTACATTTGCGACATACGTGTCTTCTAGTAAAATATCTCCGTGAATGGTGAAAGCTGTTATGTAAGAGGACGTATTTCCGTCTAATTCTTCCGTTCTCAATGCTACTATTACAAAGTCATCTGATGTAGGGATAAATTTAAAACTTGAAAAACCTTTCGTTGGACTAGAATTTCTAATCTAGAATAGTAAATAAAAAAACACCATTACAATTTTTTTTCAAACTTAAGGCTATTTTGTTACCTGTACAACTTGAACATCGTACATATCTGCATTGGCCGAAATCAACACAGAACAACCTCTGTGCTCATCTAACGATTCATTGTATGGTTCCTTACTACACCGTCGCGGCAAAAAGAACCATCTTTGATGTTTATCTGACCAAACGCCACTTTCATGAATCATGTAACCGGGCCAGTAGATTCCCAAAATTTCTCTAATTCTTTTGTACTCATTTACCCAGTTAATGTGAGAAATCTTTAATAGACGAAATCACTATTTTTCTTTTTTATTACTTAAGTGATACTTACCTCACCTTTTGGAGTGACAGCTTTAATATATTGCGGGTCATTACTCTGAAATTCTCCAGATGCTGTCGTCCATTCCTTACCCATCGAACCAACATAGAGCACTTCATTTTTTACTGTTGCCCATTCCGATTTAAAACCTTTCGCTTTCCTAAAAAGCAAGATACCAACTAATTCGTAGTTTGGTGAACAATTAATCACATTTAACATACTTTCCATCTCCATCGATTAACAATACCCATGGAACGACTTGGTTATTGATAATTTCATAGACAAGACCAGTCCTGTCTTCAAATGTCAGTAATCGTCCATCAAATGTAACCAATTCCGACAGTTCCATGCCTCGTCCTTTTAGGGCAAAATTATTTTTTAGTTGTATAGGTTCTTTTGCATCCCATGATATGATAACTTTAAGTTTCTTAGGATTATAACTGAGATAACCCTGTTTAAAGTAGGAATAGTAAGTATTTTTCTCAGCTTCACTTTTTGAATTCGTATCTAAATCAGCAATAATACCTAAAATTTTGTGTAACATATGCACGTTTTGTACTATGGTAAAGAATTGTATGAAAATAAATATCTAGTTCCAGTTCTTACCTATCCGAAATGTATGCATAGTATTTGTTTTAATAGGCCTAGTTAATGGATATGTATAATTGTAGTTACTACTACGCATAACATTGCCTGAATTTCTTGTAGGAAATAAATATAAAATAACTAATAATAAAAATCCTGTAAAACCAACTACACAAATAAATTGTGTCTGACCTCGTATAGTTCTATTTACAATTCTGTAGGCTGGCTGAGCCCTTAATGCTTTTCTCCAATCTCTTGTAGCTACCATTTCTTCTTCATCGAGTAAGTTCATATGTACAGAAGTTGATTCCATTAACTATTTTTTTTTATTTTTCACCTTCAAATACCATATCACAGTTAGTTATAAATTATAGAATAAATTTAAAAATCGTTTTTGCGATGGCATTTTCATATAAAATTTAGATTCGTGGCCAAGACATATCTTATCAATTATTTAAATAAGATGTAAATAACATAACCTCTCTTTTAAACAGATGTCAAGATGACAAGATTAACGTTTCCGTTCCGTTGACGTTGCAGACAGAACACAATAGTTTGTTAATTTGTCTCTTTATAAGATGACAAAGATTGTTTGATAATGGAATTATGGGACCTATTTTTGAGGCAAAGTTTTCTTTTTTTTTTATTATTTGTGTAATTGGAAATGTAAGTAGAAGTTTAATTTATTTGACAAAAAATCTCCTTTTGTTCTCAATCTCTATAAATCTGCAATGTCTAATTCCTCACTCTTTTTTACTCTCGAGTAATCTAAACAACTAAACAGTAGAACCAATAGCACCAACACAACGCCAAGAATTACTGCTTTATCACGTTATTCCCTAAATATTTCCTGTTTAATAATTTGCTGTTTGGTGATTTCGTAGTTGATAAAACTATTCTATCTGTTTTTATTAGTGATTTTATAAAAAAATGGCTGTATTAGCGGCTGCTCAGCTTTTAGATGAGTTAATGGGGCGGAACAGAAATGTGGCACCTAACGAAAAAGTCAAAGAACTGAACTGGGAGGATTCTGAGGTAAAATTAATTACCTAACAATGACATTTCACCTGATATAATTTGTTTTTTCTAGTACTGTAAATATTTCTTAGCCAAATTCTGCCCTCATGATCTGTTTGTAAATACCAGAGCAGATTTAGGAGCCTGCTCGAAAGTTCACGACGAAGAAGTTAGAAAATTGTTTCAAAATGCTAAACCAACGCACCATCGTAAACTCCAATATCAAGAGGATTTTCTTCGATTTTGTGTGTCTATGATGAATGAAGTTGAAAGAAAGATAGTCAAAGGTAAACAAAGATTGGCACTCAGCGGAAAAAATGAATTGCCGGCCATATCTCCTGCCCAAACACAGAAGAATCAAGAACAAATCAATATACTAAACGAAAGGATAAATGATTTGGAAGCCGAAGCTGAAAAAGCCGGAACTGATGGAAATGTAGAACAAGCTCAAGGACTGATGAAACTCTGTGATCAACTGAAGGAAGAAAGAGACTCACTGCGTAAACAAATAGAAAATGGGTAAACAAACATATTTCTTTAAACTTTTTGTAATTATGAAAAATATCTTTGAATAAACTGTATTTGTAATTTCCTTTTAGTCATTGGAATGCAACAGCAGAACTCGCAGCAGCGCAGGAAAAACAAATGGAAGTCTGTGAAGTGTGTGGAGCCTTTCTTATAGTCGGTGATGCCCAACAACGAATAGACGACCACTTAATGGGCAAACAACATATGGGATTCGCTCGACTCAAAGCTGCAGTGGATGAAGTAAGTGCCTTGGTAAAAGCCGCGAAGGATGAAAGGCAGTACGGAAGAAGTAGTTCAAGTACAGACGATAGTAGGCGGGACAAAGAGAGGGACAGAGAGAGAGAACGACGACGAGAAAGAGACCGAGAACGCGAAAGAGAAAAAGAGAGGGAACGTGAACGAGAAAAAGATAAAGAAAAAGAACGGGAACTAGAGAAAGAAAAGAGCCGGTCAGAGCAAAGGTAAGTAAAACTTCATCGTCCGAAAAAAAATAATGGTTTCATCGGTTTTTCAGAGACAAGGAGAAGCAGAAAGAGAGGGATAGGAGAGAGAGGGAGAAGAGGTCGCGTACTGTAGACAGGGTTGATGGTAGAAGAGAAAGGGATTCACACAAAGACCATGTAAGGGACCGAGAATCTCAAAGAGAGAAGGAACGAGAACGGGAGAGGGACCGGGACAGAAAGCACCATTCTGACCGAGACTCAAGTAAGTATAGTTCAACTTTGGCCGTTGAAGTTCGGTTGTGCAGTGGTAAAGTGTCAGGCAAGCGAAACTCTCTGTCCCGATTGTACTTTTGTTCCCTCCATTTGATTTTATTCTTTTCCATATAATGTTTGCGCATTTTTCCAGTACAATGTGTTTTGTGTACATTTCTTTTTAATAGGGTCGTTTCTATTTTTTGCTTTATTTTTCTTAGTTATTTTATTAATTTGAATTTCCTTTAACAGCAAGCGGAATGTTTGGAAAATTACTAAATATCTGTTAGCACATTGATGGGTTGGTATAACTATTTGCGATTTCTGCACCAATTTTTTAGGTAGATTCTATAAGTTCAATGTTTCTCCATTTTCCGCAAACCTTTGCATTGTACACCAACTAATGTTTTTCAGAGTCAAAAGGTGACAGCGCAGTTTTTTCAATATTTGTTTGGATTGTTTTCGAGTTGGCAACTAGGATTGTAAGGAGATGAATAGTGGAATATGACTAACTTACATAATGATTGTATTGAAAGCGATATTGTAAAGTATATTTATGAAATTCTTTAATTTGGAGTTACATCGGAACAATGCTTTAAATATTTATAGGGAGACTTTTGTATGTTTTTTTCTGCAGGTGCAATATTACAAGTTGTTTCCAGTAGCAAGATAAATCGATAATTTTTCAGTGATTCGGCTTTTTTTTTCAGCCTAATTAGTGAATAATGAAAACAGTTGAGTACAGGTTATTTTGTGAAGTTAAGCTGTATTCAAATGTGGGAACTGTTGTTCTAGGTCGTCACCGCCACCATCACCACGGGCACCACCACAGACGATAATCAATTGACCAGTAAGATCACCCGTTGCAGGTAGGTGGCGTTCTAGCTTACGACTTACCTTTTCTCTTTCAGCCATTGCACAGGTTAGTGATTATTATAGAGCTATGTATAAATTTTTAATAATTGTGATGTGATATACCTACTCTACAAAAAGAATCAGAGAAACTTTTGTAGATATACATGCTTCGTAACAACCCTAACTGCCTTCTCTCTCAAATTTATCTATAAGATTGGTTTTGGTAGAGGAGCTCCCTTGTGAAGATCTCTTGAACATAAATTTAATTCAGAATCTTTAAATTCGTGTATTAATATATTAATTTGACATTTATTCAGGGTAGTGCAATGTTCCATTGTCAAAATTCTACTCTCAGTCCATTTAAAAGTGCTCAAGAGTTGAATGACCTTTTAGTGCGATAAATGCATCATTAGGCAGTGGCATACTATTCTTTCGTTTATTTTTTGTAAAGGTTCAAAATATTAATTATAATGATGAATACATAGATTAATATATTTTGTTCAAATAAAGTTCCCATAACAATATTTCAGAATGAACAATCACAGAAACACTTTTTCCTTGTAAATTAATGCAGAACCTTCAGCAAAGGTTGAATCCCACCTGACGACTGTTAGTCTAAAGAGATAAAATGGTTCAGTGTCCACATATTACATTTTCTTTCAAAAAATTGAATTTCGTCTTGCAAATGGTATTTTTACACACATATAATGTTTAGTTTTTCCTTATAAAAAATCAGATTTCTCTTAGATATTTTGAATTTTGATCACAATTAAATTGAACAAGTATATTTTGTTTGCAATAATGTCAAAACTAATTAGAAACTATTGAATGCAATTTTTTATAAGATGAACGACATCACAAAATCAATGATATGGGTGTTTTGCTGTTAAATTTTTTCTTGAGCCAGTCAACGGAATCACACAAGGTAGTATTAATGGGGTCGTTTATAAATGGGCCTATCAACTATTAGGTCAAAACAGGAGGATGAACAGAGGACGTAGGCAGGCCCATAGCTTTATATATACGCCTAATAATCTAAAACGAGGTGGATGCTGAGCTTTGGTCGAAGAGCCTTAAACCAAATGGTGGGGCAATTGCAGGCTAAGGAGATACTTAAGTTTAATAGGAATCGAGGAGGACTCTTCATGCTCGAAATGTGGAAAAAGGGAAAATACCCCCATCCGTCTTATGGGACACTGCGCAACCTTGAGGAGGTTAAGACCATAAAGTGTTTGGTACCAAAGAGTTACAAGAGGATGAGGTGAGGGACCTGCCATGTTGTATCAAAATCATGGCGTTCATTAGAGTGTCAGGTATAGAGGATTGTCAGAGGCAGTCAGTGGATAGGTAATAGGATGACGGTAATAGGCAAAAAGGACCCACTTACACTTACACTTAAACGGTTGTTCATTAATAATTTTGCTTGAACTTGAATAAAAAACTACTTACTAATCAAAGAAAGGAAAAGTGAATGGCGTGTTATCTATGGCCCCAACTATTCACCTCTTTTTATCTAGTATTTAACTTGGAGACGATTCCAGAGGTTCCCAATATGTTTTAACGATTTTGATTACCTATTATTAATTTGAAGCACCATTTTGCTGTGTCAAATGGTTGGATTTTTTAACATGCTTACTATTAATGCATTCTACTTGCCACAAAAATCCTTACCAACCTTGTAAACATCCTGTATAATTTTGTCGGTGAAATAGTGCAACACCCTGATTCATAGGATATGTTCAAAATAATTTTTAATAGCAACTCGTACAAATAATAAAAATATATTGCTCTTGAATATCCGTACACTTTTTAAAAAGCAACATATCGGGTGGTCTCAAAGTTGAGTAATTTATTTAACAGCTCATTCTTAACTCGTAAAAAAAGTCAATTTACCAAAAATCGTTTATATAAAAGTTACCAAATGAAGCAATTTAACAACATGGTTCGAAGGATATACGTATATCAACGATTTATATAATGTATATCATTATATACAGGGTGATTCATTAACAATGGGAAAATCGAAAGTTGATAGTTTCGGAAATACAGGGTGTTGAAAGTTAAAATTTTAAATTGTTTTTTTCTATTCTGAAAATATGTAGGTTGGGAACTTGAAACTTTGTGAAACTATATTTTTTTAAGCGACAAATAAGGTGCGTGTTGCAATTTCAGCGTTGTTCACAGAGAGTGCCACTTATGACCAATTTTACTGAAAATTTAGTTAATAACTTTTTACCCTGTCTAACAAAAACTTGATTCAAAACCTGAAAGAGCAATCATTTTTCAATTAATTATGTACTCTTGTTTCATTTCGGTATCTCGATCTGTTTTCGAGAAAAATCGATTTAACGAACACTATGTTTTGATAATACGAGAAATTAAAAGCGAAACAAACCAAGTGTTTCTTCATGTTATTACAACAATTAACGATAAAACAAATGAAATACGTAATAATGATTTAAAGTAATTTTTCGAAGAATCCACCGTTGACACTACATACTTTCAGAAAAATCGCAAAAAAACGATTTAAAATTTTAGCTTTCAACAACCTGTATTTCCAAAACTATCAACTTTCGGATAAGGCATGTTTGCGCTAATGGCCACCAATACAGGTGTAGTATCTTCAGCTTTCGATTTTCCCATTGTTAATGAATCACCCTGTATATCATGATATTTAAATTCTGATATATATCATGGATATTTATAACAAACAAATGTAAAATTTGCGAGACTGTTAAAAAATGTAGTTATTCCCATAAAAAATGAGTGCACAACTATGTCGTTCATCTTTATTTGATGTCTAAACCTAACCACTAATTAGTTATGTGAAGTGAAATCATTTTAAGTTGATTACCATTTTCAAATTTTATTTGTTTAATGAAACTATATTATTATCGACCTTCTATTATTTTGTGATCGTTTTTATTAGAATATTGTATTCTTTTCTAAATAAAAAAAGTACAGCAGCAATATATGTATTCTTATTATTTCTCAGTTTTTTACATTAGCAAAAAAATAGACAAGCATAAAAAAATTAATATCATAATTTGATATATATTTGATAAATATTGGGTATATATCCGATATGATGATGTTTATATAAATATCATGATATTTTCGAACCCTGATTAGTAGTTGTTTAAAAAAATTGAAATTTAAAAACTTTATAATACAAACCTGATCTATTGTCATTTTCGACCACAAATGGTAACAATTTTCAACAATTTTGGATATTTTATTTNTGTGGGACATTAAAATGGGACACCCTGTATAAGTTTATGACATTTGTTGTATAGTGTCCATCAAAACATCTGCACTAAATGAGAACTTTTACTATTATTATTTTTTACGTTTTTTGGCACTTGAGCACAAATTTTAATCAAAAGGAAGCCAATAATATTTACCATGGCACCATAACTATAAAATGTCATTATAAAAGAAAAAAGTTGACGATTTCTACAAAGCTTGGCACAGAACTTTAATTTCTTGGTTGAACCGTATCTTTGCAAGGGAGCTCCAAAAATTGTATCAGATGTGAATATATACCAATAGGAGATTTAGAGTAACAATAACAAGTAAATTATAAAACTACATTTATTTTTTTGCATAAGTGAGCTATTATGGTGTGGTTTTTATTTGTACATGTTGTGTTCTGGAGAACAGGGAAATGGTTGTTTATGCCATTTTGTTTTCTTATAAGTTTTCAGCTGTGAAAAAGTCGACAGTGCTCGCCAGATTTAGCTGTCATGGCCGCACACACGCAAACACACGCTCGCTCATATCGGTTTTTTGTACTATTGTAAACGAGGTATTTATAAAAATTGTAACTTTTTATATCTTGACGAATTATTGCTCCACCGTACTGTGTTATTCTTGATACTGAAAACTGAAATCTGCATTTGATATCAGAGGTATTTATGATTGTAATTATAGACGAAAGTACGCCTTCGAACATTTTCTAGCACTAATTTAATGTGTTAATCAACAAAAAAAATGTTCTTACAAAAATGTGTCTGAAAACGCCTCGTTTTCGAGGTATGAGGTGTTCAGAATTAATGAAAATATATGCAATAAGTTGCCAAAAACAGTTGAGACGAGTCATGTTCATAGATAACTTAATTATAAAAAAAAAAAAAATAAATAAAATTAATGATATAAATCATTAAATTAAAAGAATAAGTCTGGGGTTATTTTTATGAACAAGTTTTGCCTAACCAAAAAATGTCATACTGAAAAAAGCAGATAGGTGGAAAAAAATTTACAGCAAAAGTTGCTGTGTCCGCCTCCGAAATTATACCCTTGGATGTAAAATAGTCTTTAGTCATTCTCATAAACTTGTGAAATGAATGACATTTTTTTTATTAATTAATCTAACGCCGAACACCTCAAAAATGATGTGTTTCAGAACACATATGTATAGGAACTTCTTTTGTTTATTTATGGCATAAAATCTACCATTAAAGTTTGGTCAATAATTTTAGTGACACCCTGTATATGCAAATAATTTTGATTAACCAGATCAAGAGATAATTCTGTTTAAATTCTGGTGCTTTCCTGTGAATTTTGTGGTGATTTTTTTTTATACAAACGGGTAAGCGAGATGTAGTAATTTTTTGTTTGTATGTACAACTAGTAGGTACTTGTGATAATATCAATATGAATTTTTTGTGTTTTAAGCTTTCTTCAAATTGTAACAGACTTGTGTTTGCATTAAAGGTAATTTCAAAGCAGAAACAATCTTAATATTTCATAGTATGATGGACCTTTTTCACTAATCTCAACTTCGTACATCCTTGTAGGAGTATTAAGTGACGTGTATTCATATTTTCTGAATTTAAATTAAATCCTACAAATTTTTCCTGCTAGAAACAACCAGTCAAATAAAATAAAATATCGACCCATTTGTTGGGATTTAAATTAATTTTATTGCAAATTACAAACATTGTTTTTCAGTTGCAGATTTATGCCCAATTAATTAACTTCAAAAACCAGGTTAAACTAAAATATTGGCACACATACAGCTTCTTATTGTATCAAATTTTTAATACAAGCTCTGTTCATTTGTGTTGTAAGAAGCAGATCTGAGCAGGAAAAGCACAAAAATACCGGAGACAATATGATTTTAATAATTTATATCTCGCACTTTGCCATAAAATCATAAAAATCACCAATATCTTGATTGAAGTTCAACAGTTAAGCAATAATAACAATAATGTCAACTTAGTGGCTGTTGGTTTGTTTTTTACTTTTATTCTTTCTAAACTGTGTCGACGGTCATAAAAAAACTGATTTTAAAATTAGTTTGTCTGATTCGAGCAACACAAATGAACATACCTAAAAGATACTAGACAGTCAACTATTGTGATGTTGTAAGTCATTTAAGATGGAAAGAGATAAAAAGTAAGTTGCAAATGTTACTCCTTGGAAGGGAACGCTTATTAATAGGAGGTTATTCCATCTATTGCACTACAGATCTTCATAAAATTCCCAAATAAAGAATGAATTAGTCAGTCTGAGAACACTAGAAAATAAATTTATATAAGTTTATTGAATAGGGTGCCTTACAATTGCCTTGACAGACTTGACAACAACTCTTGTTCATTGATTGGATGCTGCAGCTGTTGGAAGGTGACATCACTTTCCTACGATTTTGGAATTTTAAATCTATTATTCTGTCGTTTACTATGGTAACCCAAAAATTAAAAAGAAACACAGTAGGACTTCGATTAACTCTGTGCAGATCATTACAACTAAGTAAACATTTGTTGTCCGAGAGCAGAGTACATACTGCGCGTCGGTATGTGTTTGTACACATCTTTGTGTCCCTTTACTCGAAATGCGTGATATTCACAACGAATGGTGTGATTTTTAAACAGTTTCTTCTCATTCTCGCATGTATTAGTTCTTCTAAATAAAAATTGTGTTAATTTCTTTGTTAAAATCTCAAATCCGTTCAAATAAAATAAATAACTACATATTTCAGTTATCAATGTTTTTCAATTTGTGAACTGTCCAGCAGGGGTAATCGAGGTTCTATGTACGTTTCATTGAACACACTGAATACTCTTAATTTAGAATAAAACAAGCAAAATTTGTGGAAAAGGCCCATTTTATCAGATATTTTGTTTGGATTGCTTAATAAGTGCCTTATTAGAACCGAACAATATAGTGGCTTCATTTTAAATTATAGTTCTGAGTATGTAAAATGATTGTTGCTATACAGTTGTTGCTATATAGAAAATTTTCGAAGGCGCCTCTCCCAGCCAAAAAGCCATTTCGTGTCCCTGTCTCATGCTGTCGTCTGGATCTTTACAGTGTCACAAACAGGTGAGGTCTGTAGGAAATAAGAAGTCCCAACTATGTAACCCATTTTTTATCGGCAAGCCATCCAGTCGGTCTTCTGTTGCAAATAGAGGTGACGATTTTTGTTTTTGCTTTTTAGTCGTTAGGTCATTATTCGTATTTAAAGTTGGAAAAAATATATTTTATTTTCACATTCTTGATGTTAATGTAAAATATAGATTTATCAAAATAAATATTTTTTTGTTATTATAATAAATGTCCGATCGTCAAATAAACATTAATTTATAACGTGCTTGTTTTTTTTTAACTCTTAGAAATAGGGACAATACACTGAGGAGAATAGATTAGGGCAAATATCGAGTTTCATTTCTATCAATATTTTTATTTTACTATGCTAGGTACAACTTGTACATTATTTTATTTTTACTACAACTATCGACAATAGAAACGAAGATACTGTTCTGCTATAAAGACAGAAAAGGCACAGGTAGAAGAAATAATTTAAAAATTTTCCATAACTAGAGGTAAATGCTAAAATTTAAAAGAAAATTCGTTGAAAAAATTTACAAACGTTAAATAAATTGTCTGAGTATATTGAAAACTACGACTACAGGGACACCATGTATATCTGTGCAATAGTATTTAAATACTATGGTTTTAGGCATAAAAATAATATTTTAAAAAATGTGTAAAAATATAAAAATTCATAATATGAAATACGTTTTATGTCTGCAAGTTAATAGTTGTACTAACTTTAATGTGTTTGAACGATGAAGATTGTTGATAAAAGAAACATATTTTCTTTAGGAAGACTTCAATAATAACTTATTGAAATACAGTGTGTACATATTTGATCTACACCAGTGTAGAATTTTGCAGGGTGGGGCGATTTTAATGTCAATTTTTTTTCAGAGTAGGAAGCGCATAAACACATGTATGGGACATATTTCTAAGGAGATAATGTTATCTCGTGGCACGCTATGATTTTTTTAATAATGGAATGGTTTTTGGAAAATCATATTAGGGATTTTTTTTATTAGAAATTTGACAACACTGTGTTATTCAGCACCATTTAAAATCCAAATACCTAAAATTTCATTAATTTATGTCGTTGCATGTTTTTTTTATAGAGCCTCAAAGTCCCAAAAACTAAAATTCATATTTTAGTTTGAAAATATCGGGGGCTTTTAGAAATGAGTAAAATCAGTAAAATACAATTTAAACAGGTTGAAATATGTTAAGAAAGAAAAAACAATATGAATACCATTACATTTTAAAATTAGGTAATTTCTCTAGACATAATTTTTATAACTCGGAAAGAAATTTATTTTTTCTAGTTTCATCAGGGTTGCTGTGAAAAACAAATAATATTCTGAAATGCCAAATCATGACATCTATTAGCACGCTTTAAATTACGTCTTTGTTTTGTGAAAAATATTTTGCTAGTAAAATAAAAATGGACTTGTATTAACGAAAAAGTGCAAATAATTCGACTACAGGCAGAAATCATCGAAGTTACAAAGAAGTAGTTAGAATTTTTAATGCTGAACATCCAAACCGACGAATATCAATCTCTCCTGTATCACGAATAAATCGTATGTTTGATCTCGGTGGTAAATGCAAGTTCTAATTTGTAGTATTTTTTAACCAGGTCAAATATTTCATCTACGGTAAAAAGAGATTCAGGACATCGAGCAAATGAAAATGGGGACACTATAATTGAATATTTCTGAAATAATCCTACAAATAGTTTATCTGATGCAGTTCGAGATTTAAAGAAAAGAAATATTAGGCCATTTAAAGCCAAATACCTGCACACGTTAGAAGCAGGTGATGCAGAGAGGTTGAAATTCTGTTTCTGGGCACAAGGAAACTTTTTGAAAGTTCCAAATTTTTTAAAAAATCATCATTTACATGGAAAAAGCTACATTTTCTACTAACGGGATAGTAAGTTCACAAAATATTCGTTGTTGGTCGTCTGAAAACCTCCATTATGTAATTAACTGCAAGCGTCAGTCCTCACAGAAAATTAATGTTTTTTGTGGCATTTGTGGTCAAAGATTATACTTCTTTTTCTTTTTTTTTCCATGGAAATTTAAATGGAAATATTTTTCACACATTTTTGCGAACTGAATTTTACGATTCATTTGATGATGTTCCTGCTTGAACGGCAAAATTCCATGCTACAGCTAGATGATGCCCCTATCCACTGCACCAGACCTGTGACAGAATGGCTTCAAACACACTTTCCTAACAGATGGATAGGTAGACGCTCTAACTTAATTAACTGGCCACCAAGAACACCTGATCTTACACCAGCAGATTTTTTTCTATGGGGTTATTTGAAAAACATTGTATACAGAAGCTTGTAATCAGATTAACGAAGAGACGTTATTAAACGTATCTAAACAAAATAAAAAAAGAATTGAAAAATGTATAGAACTACAAGGTGGTTTAATTGAAAAAGGGAATATTTGAATTTTTAATAGCATAATTTTGAATTTGAATGCTTATTTAGAATATTTCGGTGTTTCTTTCCAATTTTGTTTTCCTTGACTGGTATTAATTTGTGTAAGCACTGTTAATTTGTTAATGGTAGTTTATAATGTTTTTTCTGTTTTAACATGATATTTCAACCCTTTTAAATTGTATTTTATTGTTTTTACTCATTTCTAAAAGCCCCTTATATTTTCAAACTAAAATAAGGATTTTCAGTTTTTGGGACTTTCAGGTTCTATAAAAAAAAAATGGAACGACATAAATTAATGAAATTTTGGGTATTTGCATTTTAAATGGTGCTGAATAACGCAGTGTTGTCAAATTTCTAATAAAAAAATCCCTAGTACGATTTTCCAAAAACATCATTATTAAAAAAATCATAGCAAGCCACGAGATAATATTATCTCCTTAGCAATATGTCCCATACGTGTGTCTATGAAATCCCTACTCTGAAAAAAATTGACATTAAAATCTCCCCACCCTGTAAAATTCTACACTGGTTTCCAGATCAAATCTGTGCACACTGTATATGAAAATATAACTGCGGTATTTCACCAAAAATAAATTTTATATAAATAATAAAGGTTTTTAAAACTACAACTAAAAAAGATATTACGAGAAGAATCCCGTTTTCTTTTTTGTATTTTTTCCAACGAACCTTAGGAGTAAAATAAGAGTTCACTAGAAACTATAGAAACTATTCTACTGAAGTGACTAAAAATATCACAGACCCACGAACAAATTGACTTTTATAGGTTGGTAAAAATCAATTTGGTTCGACTAACTCATACAGAAACCTTTGAATTTCTATTAACAAAATAAATACATTTTTCAATTATTTTCTGTGTAAGATAGTCTTATTTGTTTGCTAGTGTTTAATACTTTACAACTAATTTCTCTTTGATTTATCTAACATAATCTAGATTGAATGTATCTGCTAGGTAAAAAAAAAATTAAGAAATCTAATAGCTTTCACCATCTAGTTTAGTCGTTTGATCTGAAGGAAATCCTTACATATTTATTTTTCGTTCTACAAAATAAAAAACAATTTTTAGAGAAAAATTTCTTAATTTCAGTACAATTATTTCAGTATCCGAAAACGTTTCTTCTATCTTGCAGATACACTATAGGAAGTGATGAACAAGTACCTATAATTTGACAATTAGTTTCCTTTGCTATATAAGAAAAGCATAGAGAAGGCGAAATTGAGATTGTCAATTTAAAATTGTTTCCCTTACAATTATTATACTCAATTTTTTAAAATCTTCAATTGAAAGTACTCCCTGTGACAAGTAGAATGCCAGCAATCATTCCTCCACTTTTTCTACATATCCTTATTTCCGACAATATTTTGCTTGCACTATGACCTTTTTAGTGACCTTTATTACTGACGTAAACGACGGCAATATTGAAGATTTCATAAAATGTCATCGCCTACAAAAGTGAACACACCATCAATGTCAACTGCTGACACTCTACCGAGTGTTGACCCTGTATTTTCAAGTAAATTAATTGAAAAATCTATATCTTTCACGTAAAATTAGGAAAAGTTTTATGGAAGAATTTTTTAATTCACATTTACAATAGTGTTACTGAAGAAATAAAATATATTCAGATGCAACTTAGTAACTGAATTTGAACTTTTTAGTTAGTTTTGCACTTTCATTAATTAAATAACTGCATCTTGATTTCATTATGTGCTGCATCCCTTAAAAAAAAAAACAATGTCGTCCTACTATTGAAATGACTACACACATTTTCAAAAAACAATAGATAAGTGGCATTTTTTTTGGCTGGAACACTAACATTAAAATAGGAGAGTAATTTACTCTACTTAATCGTTCTATCTAATAGTTTACCTTAAAATTATGTCACAGATTTTACTGAATTCTAATATTAACATCTGTCTATTCGTAATTCTACACAACGTAATTTTTTTAAACAGCGATTGGTAATGACTTGTAGAACAAGAAAGTCAAGTTTTTGACCTGAAGTACGGATTTGTGTTTTAAATACATAAATAGTCATGTAGGTTATAAAGATACTACGTTGCAGAGTGAATATCTACATATATTTTACCTGAGATGAGATGTTATATTATTTATTTCAAATTACGAGATCATATAAATGACTATTAGCTATATTTTGCTAATGTTAATCCACATCGAATTTAAATAATACAAAGATTAACCATGTTTCACTTGAGTATATCAATTTATTGTTCTCATATTTATGAAGAAGGATCTACTTCAAAATATTTTTTATATAATTGAATAATTCATTAATAAAAAAATTTTATAGAATCACCTCAATTTTGAAAATCTTCAAGATTCGGTACACCATTTTTTACAGGGTGTTCTAATTTATAGGTGTGTAGGGCATTAATATAAATAATGAACAGATGAAGTACAAATATTTTTTATCCATGTGACTTTCTCAAAATTGCAAATCTGTCAGGTTGGTGTCTAATTTAAGGATTTCAAAATCCCGAGATCCTGAATGTTTTGTGGGTTGTCAATCCTGGAATGAGACAATCTCGAAATAAAAATATTTCCATTTGACTTATTACATCAAACAGTAGTAACATAGTTACAACTTACAAACAGCTTGGGAACACGTACTTACAATTTTTTTATTTAGATGGGAGAAAAATCGGGAAGGCTAGTTTTTTCAAGGTGAAGTGCAACCACTCGCAGCACATTGTAGAAGTAAATATTGTAACTCGAGAACTTGCGATAGCCAAATTGAGTCCCATTGTCAAATCAAGCCGAAAAGAAGAGCATGAAGAAAATATCAATATAGAAGGCCAATTATATGCAGGCATCGCTAATTGAAAGTATACATATAACGTATTTCTTATGCTGAATGCCAACAAAAACATTAAAAGCGTTTTTTTAACTAGCCGGAAACATAACAAAAAGTTTTCAACGAATTGACTTGAAATTTTGTACAAAGTTTCACAATAACATAACTCAGGGAACATCGTAAGGGTTTTTCGATTGATTAAAAATTGTCATTGTTATTAACAATGTAATGACAAATTTTTTGTCTTTTTTCGATACTTTTGAATGTTCACTAAATCAACAATTATTAATATTTTTTAATTTCACTAGGATGTTCCCTAACTTTTAGTATATGATATCAGAACATGTTTGTTTTTTTTGCTCCAAGACCATAAGAAACCTTTCCGGCCATACAGCCCTCTTAGTAAAAGGTGTCGCTGCTTGCCATTACCTACAATTTTGGATTCAGTCGTTTGAAAAAATTTACAATTCTACCTGAAAACTTATACGGTAAAGTCTTTTTTCCTGACACTATATCTTGTATCAATTTTTCCTTGAAAATTCTTTTTCAACCTTTAGAGTTGCGTTACCCCTTACTGAGTATTCTTTAGTTCAATAAATAAGTTTAATTTAAACATGCATAATCAAAAAATGACTGTAGTATTTTTTGAAAAAAAGAGTAATACAGTGAAAATTGCTTATAACGACATGGCGTTATACGACATATTGGATATAACAACGGAATTTGGAAGTCCCGATTTAATCCTATAGAAATACCACATTAAAAATATCGTTTACTACGACACCGTTTACATTTTGGATTTAGCGATGTGTTTTTATATACATTTACCATAGAATCCGTCAGTGTTCATCCTCCTGCCCCGCCGACATCCACGCTTTTGACACCAGTTAGTACGTTTGGGACAAATTACGACTTATTTACGCATACAGTTATATGAATTAATTACCGCTTTCTATCACTATGTCGAAGAGAAGTGTTTACTAAAGAAGAAAAATTACATATAATATAGAAATTAAAAAACGGAGAAACTAATGCAAGCAAGCAAAAGAATGTGGCCTGTCACACTACGATATCAAGAATTTGGAAAGATAGAAATAAAGTAGTCTCTATTCGTAAATAATTCATTGATAATGAAACACGCGAGATCTTTTGAACACAAAGCAATACATGCACATACTTAAAGACTATATTGTAAATTTATCATTTTTTCTATAAAAATTTTAAATAAAATGTATGTGATTGCTTATTACGTCTATCGGTTATAACAACCGTAAACAAACGGTCCCTTGAGGGTCGTTATAACCGATTTTCACTCTATTACCTTTTTTTAGTTAAATTTTCAGATTGGAACCTCATCAAGATCCCAGGATTACAAATTTTTATCCCAATATCGAGCCCCCATTTTGAGAAAAGTTTTAGGAAAAATTTTAAAAAAACTTGTGTTAGAGATTTCTTTTATCAAAAATCTAATCCCATCACGCTATCCTATGCCCCTTGAAACATGGCTGCTGTGATTTTTCTTTTTCGAATATTAAAAATTAATTTTTCAAGACAATATGTAAATCGTATATTAATCGTTACATTTTAAATCGTGTAAAATCAGGCAAAAAATTTTACTACAATTTTTCAAAAATTCACTCCTAAATATTTTTTCCAGGCATAGGTATTGCAATTTTGAACATAAAGTTACCAAATATGTACCCTTTTTAAGGACTATTTAAAAAATATTAGAGATGTGCCGCGTACATGTCCATCGGACATATCGTAAAAAGTAGACATGTCCTGAGGACACTTCAAGATTGAAAAATTGTATACGCATGCGCGGAATTATTTGTTGCATTCATAATTTCCGCAAAAAATTTTTGAGGTTGGTACATGTAAAATAGCCATTTTCTTGTAATTTTGTTGGTAATTGTTTAACTGAAACTGACATTTTAAAAATATAACCTCTTTTATATGTCCATATTTGATTGTTTTTGGCAAAGTTAACGATTAGTAAATAGTAATCAGTTGATTCTTAATTTAATATTTAATACACAAATAGTTTATAAATGAAGTATGACGCCAAAATCAACAGTTTGGTTATATTTTTCTGAATTGTGTAAAAATCGTTATAAATGTAACTTCTGCTCAAAAACAATTTTTAAGAATTCTAGTAGGATGGAAAAACATTTAAAAAAGTGTATTGGCTGTCCGGGGAAAATTAGAAACTAGTTTATAAAAAAGTCTAAAGGTAGGTAAATAAGTAAAATATATCGACACATATTCATTAGAATAAAAGTAATATTTTGCTTTGTGTACCCTCAACTTGTGAAAACATGACGTCACTTATAGGTGCCTTATTAGATTCAAGGTCAAAAGTACTATTCTCGACAAGTCCGGACATTTCATCGACATGTCCGTAACACACTTTTCCGAATAGTGACCATCTTTAAAAATTTAAAATAAAATGTATGCGATTTCTTATTACGTCTGTCGGTTATAACAACCATAAACAAACAGTCCCTTGAGGGTCGTTATAACCGATTTTCACTGTATTACCTTTTTTTTTAGTTAAATTTTCAGATTGGAACCTCAGGATCCCAGGATTAGAAATTTTTTTCCCCAATATCCAGCCCCCATTTTGAGAGAAGTTTTAGAAAAAATTAAAAAATAAAGAGATTTCTTTTATCACAAATCTAATCCCATTGCGCTATCCTATGCCCCTTGAAACGGGGCTATTACAATTTTTCTTTTTCGATTATTAAAAATTAATTTTTCAAGACAATATGTAAATCGTATATTGTTACACTTTAAATCGTGTAAATTCACGTAAAAATTGTTACAATTTTTCAAAAATTCACTCCTAAATATTTTTTCCATACATAGATATTGCAATTTTGAGGATAAAGTTAGCAAATTTGTACCCTCATTAGGTCTATTTAAAAAGTATATATTTGGACTGCATTTGTTTTTTTAGTTGTTAATGTACACCTATAATTCGTAACACACTGTATATGTGAAAAAATAATTTGGTTCAATTTTAATAAGTTTTCTAGTATGACTATGTCTCTAATAAAAAAAGTAAGTTATGTTTTGAAAAATTTGAAGTTTATATGGACGTTCGAATCATTCAACCAATATTTTTCAAAATTTCTATTTTCTGTATTGTTTGTCACATTGAAACGTTAGAATTTTAGTGATATTTTTGAGCAAGTAGTGAGCCGTTAAATTTTCCCCTAATTCTTAGAATTGCCACTAAGAAAAAAGTGTACGCCTACATATGAGTCTTAAATTATGTATTTGTAGAAAAACACAAAGCCGACTAGATTTTCTAAATGAGTCTATATTTTTCTGCCAGTGTCTCGTTAAATATGTTCTTGTAAAATCCATTACCGTTCTCAAGGTGTCTCTCTCTTGTAAGGAATAAGCGATGAAGTTATCGTTATTTATAGAAGAAATTATCGTTGAGAACAGCATCACCCTAAAACGACTTACCACTATAGTACACGTAGTATTCACAATTCCTCTAGATCAATTTAATACTTATATAACAATGTACAAAATACTAGACATTCACTACAGATATGTAAAAATAAATAGGACTAGGAAAGGTTTTTTTACAACTATTTACACATATAAAAATAGGTGTGATCTACAAACTAACATCGATTATCGTTTTTGTCGTTACTTTTTACATCGCGTTCCTCTCGTTGTTCGTCTTCTTCCATTAGGTTCTCCTCGCTGCTGTTCCTCGTAACGTCAAAAATATCATACTGGTTTATTTCTTTAAGGTTCTCGTCTAGTTTCCTGCGCTCCGTTATGATTCGTTGGACGCTCTCTTGGCTGTCGTGCTTTGGTAGTTTCGTTTCCTCTCCAGGTTGCATTCCGGGAACTGTGAGCAGAAACGGCGTTTCCTCACTGATATCCATCGACAGTTGTTTTTGGAATAGATGCTTCGTACTGCCATAAAGCTTATGCAGAGGTTTAACCTCAGGCAGTACCAGTAAAAGTTTGCTACTACTAGTTCCATTTGTTTCGTTCGTTCTTTTCACTTTAGGTTCTTCCATTTTTGGCACTTTTAGAGTTTCTGGCTGTGAACTTATCGTTATTATTTCGTCCAAGTTGGTTTGAGCGATTGGTCTGTAATTCTTTTCGTACTCCTCTGGAGTTTGAACCTCTTGTATGCTATAAATGTCAGAGGTTGACTCGTCGATGTTTTTTATGTCGTCTAAGTTTGGCAACATTATCGGCTGATGACTGTGCAAGGTTTGGCGACGAGTCTGCGAAGGTTGCCTCTCTAATGTAATTTTTGTGCCTGGCGGATTGTATGTGAAGTTGGCTGGTAGAGAGAGGACCTATAACGAGTAAAACGATTTGATTCAGACTGATACCGGTAGGGAAATCTCGGGACTTGGTTTAAAGTTGTGGTCAGAAAGAGAAAGAGAGAGAAAAGTGGTGGTTGTGGAAAGTTTGTGTTAAATTTCTCTAAGGAAAGATTAAAATCTCACTTTAGTTAGTGGCTTTTTCTGCCTCTGATACTCTTGGTCGAGCTGAAGAGCTAGACAGAGTTCCGTTCTTTCCTTGATCTCTTGCTTCTCTGCAAATTCTCTTTCTAATTGTGCGTCCATATCTTGCTCATCTTCCAGATGTTTATGAGACTCCTCTAAATGTTTCATGAGTACCTAAAAATTAACATTTAGAGCAGTTTTAATCACCTAAAATTTGTACACTTACCGCTACTACCACGTTAACCAAAACGAATTGAGCCATAAGCACGAATATAACAAAGAAAATTGGAGCTATAATAGGTGATATGCAGCAATTTCTAATACAGTCGTCTTTAGGATTACAATTATCATCGTCTAGGGTATCCTTCATGATCCCGTTCCAGTTATCGCCAGTAGCAACTCTGAACAAGGTTAGGAAAGCCATTCCAAAATTTTCAAAGTGAGCATGCTCGCCCAAACCTAGAGAATATTTTTTCTAGAAAGACAATAACCCCATTATAGTGGTCTTACCTTGGCACGGAGTTATATTACAATCCAATCTACCGAACAATTCTACTCCTAATGCAGCAAAAATAAAAAACAACAAGAAAAACAACAAACCAAGATTGCCCACTTGCGGCAATGCCTGCATCACTGTATCCAAGAGGGCTCTGATCCCCTTCGCCATCTTTAATAACTTCAGCACCCTCGCGATTCTCATAACACGTAACACCTAAAAAAAATTATTTTAAGGAAGAAGAATACTGTTGTGCCAAACTTCATTTATAAATATTACCAAAAACATTTAAAAATAAATATATACAGGGTGTGGCATGTATAATCTATAAAAATCAAACTACAGCTTCCTAGCGATATTTGTAATAGAAAAGTCTTATACGAAAAAGTTATATTTTTGCGTTTTTTTTCGTAAATTAAAGTTCAATTATGGATCAAAATATTTTCTCTGAAACGGTCCTGTCCGTGTGCTGTACGATGAGTTACGTGCTGTAGACCAGCTATGTAAACAAATCGTCGTTGAAAGATACTTCTCAATTTTTGGGGAATTTTTCGATGCAAAAGTACAAACTAAGATAAATAGATACATATTTAAAAAAAATGATATTTCCTTATTTAATAATTAATAGTAATTATTATCTTAAATGCATTGTTGTTACTGCAAGAATTCCCAAATAAAACCACATCCGTAAGTATCTGTAGTGCACTAAACAAATTCCATTAAAACATGGAACAAAATGAAATAAAACTTATCATTTCTAGAGAAAATGTTGAAATTGATCCCCATTAGCGTAGATACAGGCATGGCACGTACGCACCCAATTTTAGCGAATATTTTTCCAAATTCCAGGTATTCCCCTAATTGTGTCAGCAGCTTCAAGTATACGGTTTCGCAATTCTTCCACCGTGGCAATTGAAGTATTGTAAACCAATGACTTCAAGTGACTCCAAAGATAAAAGTCCATTGGAGTTAGATCGGGTGACCGAGGTGGCCATGGCACAGGACCAAAGCGTCCAATCCATCGCTGAGGAAACATTTCATT